AATATCAGCAAATTTGTATGGTGTGATAGGGCTAATATTTTCCCTGACACAGCTTTCCTCCTTTTTCTCCCCACACTGACAAAATGGGAAGACTCGGGACACTTTTCTTTCCCTAATCTTTTGGAATTAGTTTTCTCTAAAAATAGACAAAGCTGTCCCCAGTACCTGATTGTCCTCCTTCCCTCCACGTCCTTTGCAAAGCTTCCTGATCAACTAAAGGTGCAAAAAGTCACAATCACAAGGAGTTTTAGCCTCACGGATTTGGTGGACTTCTGAAGATCTGAGTCACCATGGCCTTCATCAGATCCATTTCCATATGGAGATGAGAATGGTTGTGTCCAGAGAAGCTGAGTTAATGTATCTTTGTTGCATATACTTGCTATGTACAAATCCTTTTTTGTTAACTGCCCAATGACTTTGAATTATTATGTCATACCAATATCAAACTAGAACTAAGAGAATATTGGAGTTGGAGCTGCCTCTAATAGATGGGAAATGTCCAGGATCATAAAAAGAGTTGAGAGGCCTGACTTCTAGTTTCAGTACCCTGTATGACTTTGGATAAGTTATTTCAATTCCTCCGGACCTCAGTTTTCTCGGTTATTAAGGGAAGAGTAGATAACCTAAGGTATCTTCCAGAATGACCATTCTGTAATTCTAGAAAATTTTTGATGCAAGAGTTAGGTTGCTTGTATTTTTGATAAACATCAAAAGACAAAAGATTAAACCTATCCTAAATTACCTGAGACTTTGGGAGCTTGTCTTTGGTCAATTAACGTTTAAGGGAATGTCCTGACTCACTCATGCTGGCCCCCTTATAGTTCAGGTTCACCATTGGGACAAAATAAGACGTTTGTAGATCATTAGACATTTAAAAAAATAAATTTACTTCGTTCCAATACAGAAAGGCAATTCAACAATGATATAAGAACATTTAGTTTGGGTGGACATTGTCCCTCTATTCTCAAAATGGAGATACATCTGGTCATTGACTCATGTAGTCTTGGGACGTCTGCTGGACTCAGATCCCACCCTAATGGTACTTTTTATGCACTTAAGTGACAAGGAATGCTTATCCACATGGACAGAGGTTACCAGGAAGCTGCTACCAAGGGAGACAGAGCTTGAGTCTTGCCCCACCCTGTAGTCAATCAAGTCGTGGCTTTACTATCTTTTAGTGAAAAAATAACTTAATTCATGGTGTGTGTGTGTGTGTGTGGATAAGGAAGAGCAGAGGTATCTTAGTAAATATATGATTTTATCAGTTAGTGGGTCAGAGAAAGATATGCAGAATGAATGACTACATGGATGGAGATTTTAAAATACTAATCTTTACTGAGTCAGAATGAGGGAGCCTAATGCTTCTTAATAGCTCTCAATCAGTGATTTCCTATCCTTTTAAATATGAGAATGGCATTTTCAGATTAAAAAAGAAGAATCACAGGATAGTAAGTTTTGTCTTATCATCTCAGCTAAAAAAATTATGTCAAAAAGCTGCTATGGATTCAATAATACTTCAAATGATCTTGTATTTAATTAATCTTAACAGCAGCTACATGTTTTTGAAGAATAATGTGTATGTGCAACTGGCATTTATTTAGTGTGCAGAATATGTGTTTGTTTATTAGCTATTTCATGAATGACAAAGAGTTAGAAAAAATGATATTGCATTCTCCTCAAAATAATTCTGTGGGCCAGCCTGGCTTCCTGTGGGTCACTGGTTCTAGGGGTTTTTCCTAGAGGTTTTAGTAGATCCTAACATGAAGAGTGGCAGGTACATTATCAATATTCTTATTTGTGCTTCTCATACACAAAACTCGGACTCTGAACAAAATTTTGCTTAGAAGAAAACGAGCAAACCTTACATAATTCTATAAGATGATTTAATAATTCTAGATAGATAAAATATGAGAACAAGCCCTGTTCTCTATAGTGAGGGCTATTGTGGCCTTGACTTGGATAGAATGTCTGTGTTCCCCTTCCTTTGAAATAAAGAGATGTTGTTTTATAGACTTTCTCTGTGGAGCATCACTCATAGATATACATGGCCTCAAGAAGTGGCTTAGCTGTGATAAAAATGTTCTCCAAGTAGAATGGCTTTTCTGAAAGGGAAGCCCATTCTCTTTGTAAATACTTTCCATTGCAGTAACCTTTTAACTTTGCATTGTGTCATTGGAGACTAATTGAAAAGTGGTATCTAAGATCCTTGCATCTAGAGGTACTTCAGAAAGCAGCTTTAATGAAAACATTCTTTCTATGAGCAGAAGAAACATAAAACACTGCCAGAAACTTGCTTGGTTATAGTTCTAATTTTGTTATGTCCTAGACCCATTGGTTGCCATGGAGTATAGTACTTTGCAGCAGAAGGCAAGCAGTGGCCCCCTTATTAGTGGTAGCAGTGAACTCCAGAATAGTATTTTGGGTGACTGTTTGGCAGGTAAAAGCCATGAGAGCGACCACAGTGAGAATGGGACCAGATGTATGGACATTGAGAAGCCAAGTAAGGTTGATGAATAAAACATCATGAATGTACATCCCAACTCATCACCACTCTTCCATGATGGAATTCCTTTACCTATTCTATTCCTTTCTGTCTAATTTTCTTTACTTTCTCATTTCTCTCTCCCTTTTTCCTTTCCTCCGTGCTCGCCTTCCCTATTGTATTCTCTCCCTAGTCTCACATTCCTTTTCTCTTTTCTCTCTCATTCTTCTACTAACTTAGTTTCCCCTGTCATATGGGCAGAATAATTCTTCGTTTTTCAATAGGGGGAATATGACATTATTACATGAAGGAGCCCCATACATACATTAAACTCTATTTTAATACTTATATCAGTCTGGAAAAATATCCCCCCCCACTTGACATTTTGTTCTCTCGTGAGAGCCACATTCTATATCACTATATTCACAAAGACGCGATCTGACAGGTGATATTAATGGATCTGTGGCATAATGAAGTGCTTTATTACAGGATTTTGTGGTGTAACAACTGGATTTCAATGGTGCTTATCCCTAAAGATATAAGAGTGTATGAATTAAATTTATTCTTACAAGCCCTGTAAAGTAGCTTAAATAAGTAATAGCGAAGTAAGAACCCTAGGGTGGGGAAGGGAGAGGAAGGGATAGAAGAGATAGTCTATGAAGGAGCAGTGAAAGATGTAATGAGGTCAGAGAATTATGCAGAAATTAAAAAAAGATGTTAAGTGCAGGACATTGGTTTGTTAGGAAGCCTTAATAACTTCTAATACTTATGGCTTCCAATACTGACTAGAACTAACAAAGAAAGCTATTTGCTAAAAAGAACTCATTCTCCTTTTTAGTACAGAATGAAAGATTTTTCTTATTAACAAACTTGGAATAAAATGTCAACCAGAAATAAAAATCTGTGAGTTTATTACCCTTACTTAAAATAACCACATTGTGTTCCGAAAGACGCTTGAGACTGAACAGTTAGAATGCCCTGAAACTGTGTGAAAATTACATGTAATTGGTGGTATGATCGTAATGGGACACTACAGTGCTCTAAGAAACGAGCAGGTTGATTTTAGAAAAATATGGACAGACTTGCACGAAATAATGAAGACTGAAATGAGCAGGATCAAGTGTACATTGTATACAATAACAGCAGTAACTATGAACAATTAAGCAATTCTGTATGTGTATTGTTATGTTGTATTAATTACATCATATTATATATGTATGTATGTGTATGAATATATTATATTCATGTAAATGACTCATCCCCTTTACTACACTGAAAGCTCTTCAAAGTCAGAGACTATGATATTTTCTATCTTTGTATCCCTAGTATCTAGTGCATTTCATTGTATATTAGAAGTGCAATAAATGGTCATTTAATTGTAGAATGTCAGTGTTGGAAGGCATCTCAGTAGTCCGACTCATACTGCAACTGGAATTGTCTGTACAGCTTCCCACAACAAATGATTATACTTTTTCCACTTTAAGATATCCAGAAATGAGGAATAAATGGTCTCCTGAAGGAGCTACTTTTACTTTTGGGCAATTTTTTCCTTAAATCAAGCAGAAATCTGGCTCTCCCCACTCATCTTCTCCCCTGCTCCATTGGCCATCTTGGGGCCAAGCAAAACAAATCTAGTTCCTCTTCTATCAGACAGCCATAGAAATACTTGAATGCAAAGAACATGCCCTCCCTATGTCTTCTCTTCTCATCTCCAAGCTAAACATTCCAATTTCCTTTAGCCAATCCTCCTGGCATAGTTTTGTTTTTTAAATTAAATTTAATTGAACTATTTAGGGAATAAGAACTTGCTTTGCTTCATGTTGATATTAAAACTCAGGTATTCACATTCTATGGGATTTAAAATGGAATATTTTCATACACATGTCATGGTGAGAGTTTTGAATGTTGAAGACTTACGTAGATGTGAACCAGATGTTACAATGTTAATAAAAAGAACATGGGATGAACTTGAAATGTTGGGGGGAAAAACTTTCACAAAAGTGGTGTAACTATAGGTCTTAGTCACAAGAGCTGCCACTAAGAGAAATTTAGTCACAAGTTACCCTGTGACTTTAAAATTACTCGTTATTAAAAAAAAAAAAAGACAATCCCCATCAGCTAAAAGGTATTTATTTAGATAAAGTTCCATAGGATTCAAGAACTTTAATTCCCTTATCCTTACCAAGATAATCAATGAGACAGAATTGCTTTCTTCTAATGAAAATGTAATGAACTATTATTGCCTAGTACAATAGACGGGTTGGTTTGTATGGAAAATGCCAACTTCTAATTCCTGCCATCTTTTTTTTTCTGCCATCTTTCTCAGTCTTAACTGGTTAGTGTTCAGTGCTGTCACTCTGAGTCTTTTTTTGTTTGTTTTAGTCAAAATTTGAGTAAATAAAAAAATAACAAGAGGAAGTGATTATTGTGCTATTGTTTGTGTAACTATTTGAATTAGGTCACAAAATTGTCTTGACAGATATCTTACTTTTGGCTCCTGTTGTATTTCTGTTCCCAGAATGGACTCAATGCCTTGCACCTGGCAGCCAAGGAAGGCCATGTGGGACTGGTCCAAGAGTTGTTGGGAAGAGGATCAGCCGTAGATTCTGCCACTAAGGTAATGTGTTCATGCGTACGGAATTTGTGTTATTCAGGGAAGGGGCTGCAGAACTCAAATCTGAATTTTATAGCAGGCCACTTCATTGGGTTGCTGGGACACGTGGAATCCAAACAGTGCAACACTGGGAATGAAAGCTGTTTCATTATACTGTAAAGAAGCTAAATGATTCCTTCTATATGCATTTCAGTTATAGAGCAGAAGGAAAGGTCTTCGGCACCATCCATCTATACTTTTAGCTTTTAAAATAAATACTTTCCTTTTTTACTGTATGCACACATGTATGTGTGTATTAGATGGAGGAGGGGATGGTTGACAGCTGAACTTTGATTCACATTGACATGCTGTCAGAAACCATAGAAGCTATTAACACAACCCTCTTTTAGGGTGCTTCATTTTTCTTTTGATGTAGAACACTCATTGTTAATGGAAGCCAAAAATTCTTCTTGATTTCCCAAGCTTTCTCATTCATTTGCATTTCCATAAAAAAAAGAAAAGAAAAATGTCTTCTACTCTAGGGAAAAAGAGCTCTCTAATACATGGACTGAGATTGGGAGTGAAATTCACTCCCTATCACTATAAGGCATGACAATAAATTAATAACAATGTCCTATATTTGTAGAGTGCTTTAGAGTTTACAAAACACTTTCAAATACATCAAAGTAATGAAAGCTTTAACAAGCACATTTATAAAGCATAAATGATGCACTTTTTTCGGTGATCTCATCAACTTTATGTACTGAATTGTCATCTCTAAGAGGATGGCTCCCACATGTACAAATCCAGCCCTCATCTCTTTCTCCAACTACCTCTTCTTGTCCATTTCACCAACTGTCTATTGAACATCTCAAAGTCAACATTTCCAAAATAGAACTCATTGCATTTTCCCCAAAATCTATTTCCCATTAATTATCAAATAGCACAGTTTCTCAACCTTCAGTCTCTTCTATTCTCTCTTCTAAATGTGGGAAACCTCCCCTTTCCACTGTTCCCTGCCATTGACTCTTCTCCCAGTTTGCTTACATCCTTGACTCTTTGATAACTACAACCAAGGCCTCAGAGGGCTTGGTTTACATTGACAAAGAACAACTCTAATTAATTTTGGATATTAGAGAAAGCACTAACAAGCAAGATCAGGAAAACTCTTATGTATGTAGGAAGTGGAATGTGAGCTGAGCTTTGGCAGGAAGCTAGGGATTCTAAGAGGTAAAGGTGATGAGAGAGAAAGAGAGAGAGAGAGAAGAGAGAGAGAGGAGAGAGAGAGAGAGAGAGAGAGACAGAGACAGAGAGAGAGAGAGAGAGAGAATGAAAACATTGTGGAATACAGACCATGTAAATTTGTCTTGAGAGGCAGAAGGTAGGAGATGGAATATCATGTGGAGGTGTTGAGGGGGAGCAAGGAGACCAATTTAGCTGGAGTGTAGAGTACATGAAGGAAAGTAATGTGAAATTAATTTAGAATTTTAGTTCTCAATTTTTTTTTTGGTTTTGAGACTTAGTTACTATTGAAATTTATTGAAGACCCTTCTCAACAACTTTTATTTATGTAGATTATAGCTGTAGATGTTTACCATATTATAAAATTAAAACATTTTAGCATTATGACAAAAATACTTTTGACCTTATGGACTCTCTGAATGGGTCCCAGATATAGCTACGGTGTCCCCTGACCACACTTTGAGAAGCACTGGTATAGAGCTATAGATTGCAAACAGATTGCATAACATTTTGAATGCCAAACATGAGCATTTTCAATAAAGTCTATTGAAGGGGGAGGACCATAGTCAAACCTGTCCATTGGGGATATTGATTATGCAGGTATGTAGAGGATAGTTTGAAGAACAGAAATACTGGGCACAGGGAAACTAATCTGGAAGCTATTGCAGTAGTTAAAGTGAATCGATGAAGGACTGAGCTACGGTGGTGGCTATGTAAGTGGAGAGAAAATCAATGTGAGAGATGTTGTGGAGATATAATTGACAAAACTTGACACTTGATTGGACACGGGAATTGGTGGGAAGAGTAGAGTTGAAGACAGCTTTGATGGTGTGAATCTGGGAAACTCTAAGGATTGTGATGCCCTCAATGTAAACAGGGAAATTAGAAGGAGATTGAGTTTGGAGAAAAGAATAGCTTTGTTTTGGGCATGTTAAGTTTGAGATGCTTATGGGACATGCAGGTAGAGATTTTTAGCAGGTAGTCAGTAATATAACAGTAGAGCTCAGAGAAGAAATTGGGATTTAATATGTAGATTTTTGAGTCATTTGCAAAGAGATGATAATTGATCCAATGGATGTTGATGAAATCATTGTGAGGTAGGATGTAAAGAAAGAAGAGAAGAGAATTTAGGACAGAATCTTGATGGATGCTCATGCTTAGGGAGAGGGATGTGCCTACAAAAGAAGGCTGAGTGGCCAGAAGTTGGGGTAGATAGTCTCCAAAAACTAAGAGGTCAAGTAGAATGAAGACCGAGAGAATGAAGACTCAGGAAGGACTATTGGAATTAGACATCGCAAAACTTGGAGAGGCATTTTATTTGAATTGTGGGTTCTAAGGACTGATTGCAAGGGATTCAGAAAGGAGTAAGAAGTGAAGAATTGGAGGTGATGGTATTTGATTCTCTCTTAGAGCTTAGAGGCCATCTAGGACAACTGCTTCATTCTTGAGATGAGGACAGTGAAGTTCATAGAGGTTCTGTCGTGACCAGCACAAGAACTAGAAACCAAGTCTCTTGCTTCTAATTTCACAGGACTTGTTCCTCATGCATCCACTGAATTTGATCCTGCTGGCCATTTTCTCATCCTGGACACTTTCTCTTCCCTGTGTTTTTGTGACGCTGCTCTCCACTCTCCTCTTAACAGTCTGGCTGTTCTTCTCAGTGTTGTTTGCTGTACTGTCATCCATTTCCTGCTCCTTAGTTATGCCTCCACATTTGGTCTTTGACTAGATTCACTTTTCACTTTCTTTCACTCTTTTCATAGTACAGTTGGTTATCTCTTTAGCTTCCATGCGTTCAGTTGTCACCTCTGCATAGCTGAATCCCAGATCTAGCTATATATCTAGTGCTATCTGTGTGTAACCTGGACTATTATAATAGCCTCCTACTTGGTTTCCCTGAATTCAGTCTCTGTTTTAATTAGCCCATCTTCCATATAGTTGCCAGATTGACATCTGTAAAGCACAGATTGGATCATGTCACTCCCTTCACCAAGACATTCCAATGGCTCTCTCTGGCTTCTGGAATAGAATATGAGATCTTTTTGGCATTTAAATTAGTCATGATCTGGCTCCAAGCTACCTTTCTACTTTATATATTCCCCTTCATTCACTCTCTGATTCAGCCAAACTGGCCTGCCTTTTGTTCGTCAACATCCCCTCTCCATGTCTTTGTAGATGGTGTCCCCCACCCCACCTCCATTCTTGGAATTCACTCCCTTCTCTCTACTTCTTAGAATCCTTGCTTTCCTTCACAGATCAGCCTAAATTCCTAAGGGGCCTTTCCTGATCCCTTGAGCTGTTACTGCCCTCTTTTTCACTCGTATACTCTGTGTGTGTATGTACTTAGAAGTGCATACTCTTTATCCCAATAGAACGCAAGATCTTGAGGGCAAAGTATTGCTTCAGGTCAGCAGGAGCACGATTGAACTCTGATAGAGAGTTGACTCTGTATCCCCATGCCTGGAACAATGCCTGACACAGAGTAGGCCTTAAATAAATTATTGTTGAATAAATGAATGAATGTAATATTACTTCTTTTAAGATGTAAACATAACAGGCTATGTGGGGTGGCCGCACACACAGTAGTTCCTCAAACTCATAAAGAATATGTGGACATCTACTCACTCTCTGGGTTAGCTCATTTATTCCAGTCTAGCCTTATGTAGTCAGGTCTAGCTTCCAAGAGAAGGACCATAACCACATAATTGCAATTGAAATCTCTCAGAATCTTAAGGTGTAATTCTGTTGTGAGGGAATGCACTCTGCCTGCTCACTGCTTCAGCTTTCAGGTCCCTACTGATGTACTTCTATTTATAGAAAACCAGCCACTCAAAATAATTAGGCTTTTAGATCTTAAATATAACCCTTTGTAACAATTCAAAAGAAAGAATAACACCACAAGTACTGATGAATTAAAGAAAATAGAGTAATATAGTGAAGTATAGTCCATACAAGGAGGCTAGGTTATATTCTACCACCAGTGTACAGTGTATCTTTCAGGGAGAGTAGGCATACACTTATAGAAACCTGAAAGGGAGGCAGATGAGTGGGGAAAACCCATATGCCCAGGGTAACTCTGGAACTGCAAATTTTGTTATATACTCCTTCTGTCTCAGGAGATATCCATAAAAGTTCCTTGCTGAATATAGTTTCCTTCTTGAATAGACGCTTCCACACATGATGTCTCAGCCAAACTAGTTGATCTGCTCTGAGTGCTTTCTCTCATCTCTGTTTCCATGCTATCCCATTTTCACTTAGCTTCAAGTTTCATGGATGCAATATTGAAATCTGCCTTTTCTACATTTATCATTCTGTATTACTGCTGACCTTAAGCAGTGCTTATAGAGCAGTATAAGGGTGTGCTTATAAGCATTTAATGACCAAGCTCTTGATGGTGATGGGGAATTTATGCACACACACTTGTATAATTTAATCTTTTATTAATTTATTATTAGCACTTTGTAAATTCTCGGGGTAGGGAATCTTCAGCCTCGAGGTCACGTGTGGCCCTGTAGGTCCTCAAGAGTGGTCCTTTGACTGAATCTAAACTTCATAAAACAAATCCCATTAATAAAAGTATTTGTTCTGTAAAACTTGGTCAAAAGGCTGTACCCCAGGACCTAGGAGGGTTCCCCATCCCAGTCTAGACAATGAAAACCAAGCTGGGATTTATAGTGATTGCTGATTTCTGAGGTATAGATGCTTACAATGAAAATGTAACAACCAGCTTCAGCTGGTTGAAGCTTGCTCCAGCACACCTTTGTCTTTGTACAAGTCTGCAACATTTTGGGGGCAGTATCATGCCTACATGAAATGTCTAGTAAGTGTATTTCAACTTAGTCTAATGAAAACTTATAAGCATTCTGAGGAAAGCTAAGATTTTTACAACAAAGGAAATATTGGGCTTGCTCTAACTTTTTCTGTTTTTTGTTTTTATATATTTATTATTGGTTTTTGTTCTCCCAAACAGAAGGGGAATACAGCTCTACACATTGCATCTTTGGCTGGACAAGCTGAAGTTGTCAAAGTTCTGGTCAAGGAAGGAGCCAATATTAATGCACAGTCTCAGGTATGGATTCGATTTTCTTCTCTAATATTCATGGCTTTTCATGGAAGAGTTTAGGTGAAATTTATATAGTGAATCCAACCAGATGTTGGACAAAAATGTGCCTTATGAGGGCTGTGATTACTTATTTTAGTCAAATTCTATTGCTTCATAGAATGATCATTTTTTTCTACTAATATCTAAGATATTTCTTCTTTTCCTAAAACTCTGCTTAATGTTAATTTTAGTGGAAACTTGATAAAAATCTTCTTAGTATCCTTCTGAGCTCTCAGGAGGAATCTTAAACATGAGCTATAATTTCAAAAATTTTTGTGTGAAATAAGCAATATTAATTCATGCATTGCTCTGTTCCTCTACAATAGTGTTCAGTCACTCTCCAAATATTTGTCTTTTTGTGTTAAGAGTCCTGTGACCCTGTAAGGGCTGCATATTCCTCTGGCATAGGCAAGCTCTCTCAGATGGTGAAGGACTCAGATGGTGTTTTTTCTGGGCACAGCTATCACTGGTATTATGACATGAATCATCATTGCCTAGCATTTTGGTCTCCTCCAAGATTTGGGGCAGCTTACAGCTGCTCCGCAACAGGGTTACCCACAACTTGAGGGAATACAAAAGCTGAAAAGTAGAACAAGGAGCCCACCTGATCCCATTCCTCAGCACTGTTCTGTCACAAAATGGTCTAATCTGGCTCTCTTACTTTCCCTTCCCTCCAGCACACTCTGCTTGAGAGCCAGAGTAGAATAACTGGCTTGGAAAGGCCGTCTGAGGCCTGGCCCCTCTATGCTACAGGTAACCTTAGAGTGTGAGAAGCTGATGCCTTCATTAGGATTTTGGCAGCAGCTTCTAGCCTCTTGCTTCCATGGCTCAACTGTTTTCCCCTTATGTGTTAATACTTAATAAATTTTCATATGCTTAGAGTTTTTTTGGTGAGGAGGGGAATAAATAGGCACTTAGAAATACAGGAATGGTAATTTGCTTCAAGTATTACTTTCAGGCCAATTCTTGTCTCTTCCCGTCCCCAGCCCGAGAGAGAGAGAGAGAGAGAGAGAGAGAGAGAGAGAGAGAGAGAGAGAGAGAGAGAGAGAGAGAGAGACAGAGACAGAGACAGAGACAGAGACAGAGACAGAGAGGCAAATGGGAAGAGGGAGAGAGAGAGAGAGAGAGAGAGAGAGAGAGAGAGAGAGAGAGAGAGAGAATGAGAGAGAATGAGAAAATGAGAATGAGAATGGATTTGCCCAAAATATGTTGGATTCTGTTGGGGAAAATCCTTAATTAAGATTCTCTTGGGGAGTAATTCTTCCCATCTTGGTCCATTTGAGAGGAGGTCAATAAATCAGGAGGCAAGACTAAATGATAACAAGTTTACTTAGCATCAGTTGATGGGCAGTTGTGGATAGCAGAGGCCCCACACCGGAGGAGATATATATATATATTAGAGATTTTACACAGTCTTAGGGTAACATTACACAGCCAAAGGAAAGCTCCATCAGCCTATCAAGTGAGGCTGCTTGGCCACTTTCCTTATTTAGGAGGTTGATAATAGGGACAGGATTTCAGGTGATTTGGAGGAGAATATATTAACCTTGGAGTGTCAGAAATTGGAAAAGATCAGGTTTGTTCCAGTGGGATAATATTTTCCCTGCAGTTAATCTTATCAGAATATTCTGTTTGAGAAGGAAGTCTCTAAGATAGTGAAGGCTTCCTTCAAGAAATAATCAATCAGGTTTTATCTTGTTCTTGCCAGCCTGAGGGTGTCTATTTAAACCACCCCATATGTCTGTTTCTTTCAGTTCTAAGAATACTACTTCTCAGGTGAAAATGTTTTCCTCAAACTCACAGTACTGAAATTTATCCACTTCCTCCACAGTTCTGTGGTTTGTGTTTACATATGAATGGAGATAAAAGTCTTCACCTTCACCCTCACTTCCTTGCCATTTGCAGGAATGCATTTCCTCTCTTTAAGGAATCCATAAATATCACCTATTATTATTGTTATTGTTATTGATGGGAAAAATTATTTCCTTACAATCCAGACTACCAATTAGGTTACAAATATATTTTCTATTATTTCTTGCATGTCCATGATATAAGTACTTTGTACAACTTGTTCACATAAGCCCTGACTCAAAAGAACATATTGATATTCTTTAAAGTACATAGCATCTTGGTCCTGAAGTAGAACCTGAAGTAGAAAATCTCTCAAATTCTATGTTCTGGAGAAAGTCATGACATTTTTTTCCCTTGTGACTAGAAAAAACTCTTACTAATGTTTTAGGGGAAAGGAAAAAATGAATGAAAAAATATTTGCAATGGGATTAATTCAATAATTTGTTTTAATTGCAGGTTAATTTGAATATTTTAAGCAGTTAAATGCTATACATATAAAGATCTAAAGTTTTAATTTGCTTTTAGGAATTTTGTTAGAGATTAGAAGGAAATTCAACATTAAAAATGCTATTCAATATCTATAACAGATATGTATGAAATTGAGAATTGATATTCATGTCATTGTGACTTGGGGCAAGATGTTTAACTTTTCTCTGCCTCAGTTTCCTAGTCTGTAAAATGAAGATAGTAATAACATTTATATTTATGGAGTATGCAAACCACTCCAGTATCTTTGCAAGAAAACCCCAACTGCCATGATGGAGAGTTGGACATGATTGGAACGGCTAAACAACAACAACAAAATACTTTAGGAAAATCACTTTGTTAGTTGTGCGGAAGGCATAGGGGAGTGGGAAGAAGCTTGATGAAGACGAGTCCAAATAAAAGTGTATTGCGGTTATCCAGGTGAGAGGTAATGAGAACCTGAGCTAGAATGGTGTCTGCGTGAATGGAGAGGGAGGAGACACACGTTGTAGAATCAGAATTAACAAGATTCGGCAACTGATTGGATATGTGGGATGAATGAAAGGCTAGGATAATACCCAGCTTGCAAACCTGCATGAACAAGGCCCGAAATTGGTATGTAGAATTATACCTTGCCATGGCTTGGCACCAGAATATCCTCTTTATTGGAATACTTTTGCATTAAACTCTTTAAAAGGTTAAAGGAACTTTCATTTTCTTGTTCCTACAAGGCCTCCCTGAGCCAAGAGTTCCTTTAGAAGAAGTATTCTACTTTCATGAATTCAGAAAGCATTAGGCAAGATGACCGATTAGCACAAGTATTTATTTTTATTCCTGATAATGGCTATACCAGCATACATTCAATTTCCAGAAGAAAAAGCTACACAAGTAGTATTTAGCTATTCCCCACCCACCACTCCCTTGGAAGCGAGTACAAAGGCAGACTATAATTGTGTTTCTTTATTTAAAGAGTTGAGCAAATAGCTTAGCTATATTTTAAGTGGATAATTAACATATGCTTTCATCATATTTTTAATTCATACATGGTGCTGCTGGTAGTTTTAACGTTGGAATTCCATTGGTACTAGGGGTAAATACCTTATAAAATATTATGCATCTAAAAATATAACAATTTTATAGACATCAATTCTAATTATGGAACAGATGCTTTGATTTAAATTTTTCTGTTAGTTGTATATAGGAACATGGATTCTATTGCTTGACTCAAAGACACATAATGAGTGAATGTCATATGCAAAAGAATGACTCGAAAGCTGGTCTTTCTATATTTTGTTCTAAATGCCATGACCACTAGTCATAATAAAGGTTGTGATAGAGGCAACATTCAACCAGGATTTCTTCCATCGTGGTGAAACATGAATTAGGCTAGTTTTCCCCTAAGCTGTCTCTAAGACTTGATTAGCTTACAGGACTAAGTCTCCCTGTACCCAGGTCCACTGCTATAATAGCCTTTGGCCCACCCATATGAAGTCAAGATTCTTCAGACTTGGAGGCTATTCCAAGATCATACCAGTCACTACATGCTGCCCTTCTGACCAGACATATTTCCGTAAAGAGATGCCTACCCAAACAAAGTGCTGGAGTATTCTTATTGAATATCTTTTCCATGCTACGACTGAGGACACTTCCTTTTATTAACTGTTGAGCAGCTTGTGAGTACCTCATTTAATTGTAGTGTTGAACCTAAAGTAATAAACTAAAGACTTTAATCCTACCTCCTGAAATCAGCCCTTTCCACCGGAAGGACCAAATATGTATTTTTGGAGAGAATGAAATTGGTTGTGGTTGTCCTTTATTCTCAAGGAGGACTAAAATGATATCACCATGTTCCAACTGTGGCTGAGCAGATCAGTACAAGCTCAGAATGCTCTAGCACAGGCTGGGCACAAATAGTCCATGTGAACATTTGGGGGTGGATTCTCTAAATATGTGCATCTTGCATTTCTTTTGATCTCCTTCAATTCTGCTTTGCTCAGAGAGCATAGCCCCTTTTCTGATGAGGGCAAGCCATCCTAAGCGGGCCTGTGCCAGTATCTTCCATTCACACAATCAATTCCAAAGTTTTTAAGAAAAACCTTGAGAGTGTCTTTGCATCACTTCTTCTGACCACCACGTGAGCACTTGCCCTGTGTGAGTTCTCCATAAAACAGTCTTTTAGGGAAGTGTACTTTTGGCATTGTATTGTTGGAGAAAACAAAATTAATCTGAATAAAGAAGCCTTTTATTGGAATCTCTGACCAAAGTTCTAGTTTTGCACATGTTTGTGACAGGACAGAATGTTCATTTATAAGCTTTTGTTGCCAGAGCCAGTGGTGTGCCATATGGAAACGGTTCACTGTGCTGGCACTCTGGCACTCTGGCCAACTGTGTGGGCTTCAGTGCTGCCTCTTCCCTTGCAACTGTTCCCTTTACAACCCAATTAAAAATAGTTTGTGACAAAACCAGTGGAAATCACACCTTAACTACATCTGTCCTTCCATCTAATTAATGGTTTCTTGTCAGATGGAAAGTACTTCATTGTGAAGGTGTGAAGGTACTATGTGTGAGGTAATCCTATATCTGAAATTACATTAATGCTGTGAAGGAAATCTCTGAGCCTGTACCAACACTTCTAATGAGATTTCTGCTGC